CACTTTTTTTTCACCGATTGGAGTATTATGGCCGTGGTATTGATAAAGAATAAACTGGTCAGATGCGTATGCAAGACAGTTGCTACAGCCATACGGTTTAACTGCTTCTTTGAGCCTTTGGAATATCAGATTACCAGGCTGTTGGCATAGTTGAAGCAGATCCTGCAGAAGATTGTAGCGGCCATTCATAGAAAAAATATCTTCACCAGCACCTGAAACTGTACTCCTTTTCGTTATTTCATGTTCCTTTGGTTTTTATTTTTTGCGTCTATTTTAACTATTAAATTAATTCGTAAACTTCCTCAATTAGAAAAAAATATAAAAGCTGTTTTGTGACTCCTCACTGATTAGCGATGCTTCTCGAACTTTAAAATTTATTGGCGATCCTGGTCCTGGCGTTTTATCAAGATCCGACCAGATACCTGAAGAAAGCGACCTTGACACTTCCTTGGGATTGCCGACATCTAAACGACACTTCTTTTCTTGGCTTACTTCCTGTTAATCTTAACTTTTCTGGTCTGTCAGCTGCATAAAACGTCATACTTTGGACTGTTCTTTTTTTTCCTCTTTAAAGTTATACTACACTGTTAGGTTTTGTGGTTTTTTTAATTGTTTCTATTATTGGATCACGCTTGCTAGTGTACAGTTTTTGAAAAATTGGCATAAATTTGAACATAATAGATTACTGCTATTTCGTAGAGAACAAAAGAGCAGGTAATAAGATGGTATTACAGCTGCTTTTGAACCACAAACACATAATAACAAAACTGTCCCAGAAAATGAGCAAATAATGTAAGAAAAACCAACACATGATTGAGCAAATAAATGTAACAATTCGGTTTCAAAATTTTCCTGAAGAAAAACCTTCTGAAGCGGTTTGGAAGCCCTCAGATTCTGACGACGAAGACCTCTCATAGTTTGCACTGGTGGGCAACATATGTTTTCTATATGAGTTTTCTGCTTTTTTTTTTTTTACTCAATACTGTCAGATTAGAGGGTATCAGATCTTTTTCCGATTCTTTTCCCAGTAGAAATAATAAGTATCCGTCAGGTTTAAAAAGCCACAGCAAATCACTGAATACAATCTGTAACAGGAATGATGATATTGATTATGTAAAAATTCAGTACTTTCTAATCTAAAGCAAAAAAAAAAAAAAA